ATGTAACAAAAAGGTTGCTCATTACTTACAGACACAAATACCAGATCTTTCCTTATAGAGGACTCGCTGTAATATTTCTACAGGGACTTGGGTTCATACACATGAATGTATTGAGTCTGGCAAAGTGGTTAAGACCAACTCCTCTATGGGTAAGAAAAGACGTTTACGCACGGAGGCTACTTACCGTGTGGTCGCATGGTAACGCTGAGCCACCGTGGAGCCGCTCCACCGGGAGATCAGGTACTGCGCGGGCACAGCGGAGAGCAGCAGCAGGACCTGTAGCACCGCGGTAGCCGTAATCTGAGGCATGACTGCGCAACTGTCACCTGGGGGTCAGAAACGCGAGTCAGGTGGATGTGACAGATGTGGGACTCCCAACTAACCAGTGTCGGTATAGTGTCCCGTCCAGCGGAACACACACCTGTAAACACTACGCTTTTGTATTAGTTGTTTAAATGGCGGACATAATGTAAATATGGCTCCGCTTCGAGTTATAAGTTAAACCATGACACACATATGGCGCCGCAGAAACTTCTAAGAAATGTGGGTCATTGCAAACAAACTGTCTAAGCTCATTATTATTAGTAGGCTAATTATGACCCTTACCTCTTGTTAGAGTCCACACGCTTTTCCAACTATTTGCCCAGCATTGCGGCTGTGAGACTCTGTTTGCGCTTCGAAAACAGAACAGTGACGAGGTTTCACTTCTGTTTTATTTACATAAACCACACTCTCGCTCATGCCGAGAACACCTGCGTATCTACTTTTTTTCGTAAAAACTGCCACACAGGTAGTCTGTCCAATGGCTGCCGCCCACGGAGGAACCGGAGGACCTTTAGCGGCTCGCCACGTCAGGAAGAGCCCAGCCCCTGGACTCCGAGGCGGGGAAGTGGCTTTGACGTCGTTACGCTCTGAGAACACAAGGTGGTAGAGTTGTTCATGCAACATCCTGCGATGTTGCATTACACTATTTTTCTATCTTGTTTGTTTTTTTAGAGAAGAAACAAACAAACTAGCCACAACAACACATGCCTTTATTTTTTAAAGACCCCACATACAACAAACTTTAACTGGTTGAAAAAATAAATGTAAGTTAAACAAATTTTGGTTAAGTGATGAATTTTTTTTACTGAGACAAAAAAATGAACAACAGGAAGGGAAAGTGGGTAAGGAAACACAACTGTTTATTTACTTAAAATAATAGTTTGAACTAACAGGACAGCAGTACTTC